CATCCGGAGATGGAGATGTTTTTAGCCGACATTGATTTAGAAAACAATAGTTTATTAATAAACAATTAAAATGCCTCGTTATTTTTTCAGACACATTTATTATAACCTATAAATCACCTTTCTGTAGTGGTTATGGTCTTTCATTCAGCACTGCGGGAAAAATATAATTTCCAGGTTCTAATTTGGCCTTAGAAAACCAGTAAAATCTACATGTTTTCCATATTAATTTGTGAATATTTTAAATGTTTAATAAAGGAGCAAAAAATCATAAACAAATAGGCTATCTTAAATTTCGTCGATATTTTTTTTTTTTTTTTTTTTTTTTTGCGCAGCATTTGGTGTACAGTTCAAATAAAAAGTTTGTGTTTAACTTTGCGTTTAAAAAAAATACAACAACCGTTCATTTTTCGTTTTGCAATTACGGGTTAAAAAAGGGAAAACGAATGGACCCAAAAGTAGGCTGCTACACTGACCGTTTGGAATTAATACGAGACAGAGTTCTTTATTAAATTCATAAAAGAAACAATTACAGGAATAGCATACTGGACTCTAAACCTCAAAGAAAGGCCACAATCAAGACCTCGGAGCAGAAATGAGGGAGAACTCCTTTCCCTGCCATCAATGCTTGGATAACACACCACGTCTCCTTCCATTAATAATAATGTCTGCGGTGGCTATAGTGACACAAGGTATAGCATCTTGCTTTTGGAAACATTGGACCCGAAGCCTGTAGCTATATGTTCTATAAATGATGCCTCATCCGCATCATTCTTAATTGTTTACATTTATATCTGTACTGTGTTGTCTCTGGACCTCTGTGTCTTGAATAAAAGTTGATATAGGCTATAACGTTAAACCTACCAACGTCCGTTACCATGATTTTTGGCATGGCGAGAGGAAAAAAAGACGTTTAAGTCGCATAACATCGGTTAATGGAAACGCCGTCATTTCGCAATAGTTTTTTATCGACATAAAGAAAAAAAATCGCAAAAGTTTTGCGCAAATCTGTAATGGAAACGAGCCTAATGGCGAGCGAAAGAGAGAGAATGTTGTTGCAGCTGGAGCTAATCGACGTTGAACAACAAATGATTTTATTGCAAATGTTAAATCGCAGAAGAATCAAATGTTCCTCAACTTGATATCGTTAAAACAAACAGTGCAGTGGTCACTTTAAAAATGGCGGTATCGCGGGAGGGGGAAACTGGAAAAGCTTCACTCCCGAAATGATGTATCTGACCAATCACAGCCCTTGTGGTCTGCGTCGCCTCGACGCGTAGTTACAATTTTTTGGAGGTGCACGTCGAGCTACGGCGGAGGGGTCGGAGAGGGGTTCGCGGCGACGCAGAGAGGTCTGCGGGGGTACGCCGTCGATTCGACGCAGAAGCATAAAACAGGCTTGACACTACCCCAGACCTAAACCTACCCATAACCGAAGCGTGTTATATTGACGCTAAAGGGTGCCATGTGCGTCGGATGTAGACGCGTTGGCAAAAGCGTCAGTATATGACGCCTTGGGATGAGAATGCGTTGCGTGATCGTATAGCCTGTCTGGAATAGGGGAGAGCGGGGTTGGTTGACACACTTTCCACTCTCTGTCATATTTCTCAGTCATGCTATATGTTAAAATAGTCTAACCAGTAACAACTGAAAGGTTAAGATCTCAGCTACTCAACAGGTACATTTAATGTTCACAAATTATTCCTAAAAAAAAATTATTCATCATTAAAGTGATGTTGTGCACTTGTGCCAACCAGCCCCAGTATGGGGGTTAGTTGGCACATGCAATGGGGTTGGTTGGCACAGATGCTATAGTTACAAAGAATGAGGTGACAAATATAAAAAGAACTTGACCATTTAATTCAAACCAGATGCAGAATAACATTCAAAAGAATTTCTGCCCATTTTTAACCAAACCAAAAACAAATACAGTTTGTATAGTATACAGGTGCTAGTCATATAATTAGAATATCATCAAAAAGTTGATTTATTTCAGTAATTCCATTCAAAAAGTGAAATTTGGATATTATATTCATTCATTACACACAGACTGATATATTTCAAGTGTACATTCCTTTTCATTTTGATGATTATAACTGACAACTAATGAAAACCCCAAAATCTGTATCTCAGAAAATTAGAATATTGTGAAAAGGTTCAATATTGAAGACACCTGGAGCCACACTCTAATCAGCTAATTAACTCAAAACACCTGAAAGGGCCTTTAAATGGTCTCTCAGTCTAGTTCTGTAGGCTACACCAGACCCAACAATGCAGAAGAGCTGAAGGCCACTATCAGAGCAACCTGGGCTCTCATAACACCTGAGCAGAGCCACAGACTGATCGACTCCATGCCACGCCATATTGATGCAGTAATTCAGGCAAAAGGAGCCCCAACTAAGTATTGAGTGTACATGCTCATACTTTTCATGTTCATGCTTTTCAGTTGGCCAACATTTCTAAAAATCTTTTTTTTTGTATTGGTCTCAAATAATATTCTAATTTTCTGAGATACTGAATTTGGGATTTTCATTAGTTGTCAGTTTTAATCATCACAATTAAATGAAATAAACATTTGAAATATATCAGTCTGTGTGTAATGAATGAATATAATATCCAAGTTTCACTTTTTGAATGGAATTACTGAAATAAATCAACTTTTTGATGATATTCTAATTATATGACCAGCACCTGTATTTATAAATATACAACATATAATAGTATTATTATTATATAAAGTCTTTATATATATATATATATATATATATATAATGTTTTAACATATGTAAAATGCATAAATTAATACATTTATAACCAATTGGCTATAATGACACATGTGCCAACCAACCCCCAAATCAGTGTGTCAACCAACCCCACCCACATTAGGACACACCTCTTTACTGAAATTATGTTAGCCACATAGCATCACTCATCAGAGACTTTTAAATTTCATATCAAAATATAGCTGATCCTATCTATATCAACTGAAATCCTTTCATTTTATATTATCTCTATCTATCATAGTTCTAAAATGTATTTAGTGGGGAGAAGGTTTTTTTTTGTTTTAACACAGTAAAATAGAAAAGTTATCCTCACCTCAACAGTTGGTGAAAGTTCAATGATTTTAGTAAATAGGTGTGTTCAGGTCAAGAGGGCAGTCATTTTAATGTCAGATTTTTGTGGCAGCGCCCTCTGGTGTACTGGAATTGAACTGTGTGCCAACCAACCCTTGACCCAACCAGCCCCGCTCTCCCCTACCTAAAAACGAATGTGGAATGGATCACACATAAAACAAATAACTACATCTCAGCAAACACTGGATCATCGTTCCTATATAATGATTACATCTTTGCCTGGCATACATTCTCTTCCATAGACAAGGACTGGAGTATCCGACACACACCCGATCAATCCGTAACCGGCAGAGCTCGAACTGATCAAACCACGGCTCATATTTGTCAGTAAACGTTGCAAAATAATGTTTTAAGTGATTAAAAATGCAACAGCGTGTTCGTTTATATTTTCGATGCAAAGTACGACCACAGGATATGTGAGTAATGTAGCTGAGCGTGTATAATAATGTATGATATTGTTTTTCCATTCCACACTGCGCTACTTTTCCATCCTTTGTCTATGTGGGCTAAACATGCGCTTGAAGAACATGTCTGTCCATCTTTGGGCTTGTTATTTTCCCCCTATTAATAGGTGAAGTGACTTAGTTCAGCTGCAGTGTGTCCTTGGCCTTTGTGTCAGTGTCATAGTTCTCTGAAGAACTCAGAAATCAGCTGTTAAAGCCGTAAAACGCTTGTGCAACAGCGGCGGTGGAGCTGCAGTCGGGGCGGCACTGCCACACACGGAGATACTCCTCTTAATAGCTTCAAAAACATGCATTTAAAATACATTTAGTATGTCTTCATTTGGATTTTTCATCTCATAAATATGCCTTAATATGTCATAATTTGGATTTTTCATCTCATAAATATGCCTTAGTATGTCATCATTTGGGTTTTTCATCCATAACTATGCATTTGTATGTCATCATTTGGATTTTTCACCCATAACTATGCCTTAGTATGTCATCATTTGGATTTTTCATCTCATAAATATGCCTTAGTATGTCATCATTTGGATTTTTCATCTCATAAATATGCCTTAATATGTCATAATTTGGATTTTTCATCTCATAACTATGCCTTAGTATGTCATCATTTGGATTTTTCATCTCATAAATATGCCTTAATATGTCATAATTTGGATTTTTCATCTCATAAATATGCCTTAGTATGTCATCATTTGGGTTTTTCATCCATAACTATGCATTTGTATGTCATCATTTGGATTTTTCACCCATAACTATGCCTTAGTATGTCATCATTTGGATTTTTCATCTCATAAATATGCCTTAGTATGTCATCATTTGGATTTTTCATCTCACAAATATGCCTTAATATGTCATAATTTAGATTTTTCAGTAGTATGTCATAATTTTGACTTTTCATCTTATATATATGCCTTAGAATGTCATAATTTTGACTTTTCTTTTCATAAATATCCCTTAGTATGTCATAATTTGGACTTTTCCTTTCATAAATATGCCTTAGTGTCATAATTTCGACTTTTCATCACATAAATAGGTATATATAGGTCTATATTATAATTTCGACTGTGTATATCGTATTTCATCTTTGTCATAATTCTGACTATGTATGTAATAATTCTGAATTTATGTATAGTTTCGACTTTCTATATGATAATCATGCCACTAAAAGGTCAAAATTTTGTCTTAGTATTGCATAATATTTACTTTTTTATATCATAATTTTGACTTTTTGTCAAAATGTCATATGACTTTTTATAGAATAAAGATTTGCTAAAACATGTTTGTTACATGCTTCCACATTTTGAAATATTCTATATAATGTTTCTGAGATGATGAGCTTGACAGATGCAGGTCACGTGTCTATACTGTAGTGCACTACAGTGTGCAGTGTGCGAGTCTTCCAGTGATCCGAGACCCTGTGATGCTCAGGTCGAGTGTGTGGAGCCGATGATGGGTGGAGCCACGCAATGAACAGGAGCTTCAGTCAAAGCTTCAGTGTGTGTGTGTGTGTGTGTGCTCTCCTCATATTCCTGTTTCAGCATCATCAGGATGACAATCATTGCTGAAGATGACGGAGATCCAGAGTGATGGACTAACACAGTGTCGGTGAGAACATTCACACACATGCATGTCTTTGACTTCAGTTAAACACTTGTTAAATCATCATTCTTCTGTCGGAATAATCGCGTTAAAGGCATTTGCGTGGAAAACAATAGAGAACAAACGTCAGTTTAACGCCTAACGTCTAAAGTGACTGTCGTTTTAACGCCGACTGTGATGTTTTATTGATTTCATTGTGAACTCGACCAGATCTAATCATTTGGGTGCGCGTTTTATTGATATATGTTATTGTTTTGGACATGTTGCTTTTCATTTTGATTTACTCAGTCCGATCAGCGCAAATCAATAACACACTCTGTAAGTGAAATACAGTAGTACAATATCAGTTCAGACCTTAATATATAGGATTTCATACCATTAACTGTAGCCTACAAAAGATCTACATCTTTATTAAATTAACTGACGTTGGTTTAACAAACAATCAAACAAACAAACAAACGGAAATCTCTCAAGGTGACCTTAAAGTTGTGAGTTAACACGAGATTAACAGGTATATTTTTTATGCTTGGATAAATGAGCTTGCCATATGCAATTTTTTTATTATTTATATATAGGCTATATTAAGCAAATTAAGAGATCATCAGTCAATTGTTTGTCTGTTAATACTCTTTATTTTTTATTTTTTTAAGAAAACCTGAGCCAAAAATCTAAATTCGGTCATTATTTGAATACCTGAAAACATCAGTTTTTAGGAGATGAAGAGCAAGGTTGTGTAAACTATATCTGTAGCCTACATGTATGTTGAAGTGTGTGAGCTGAACTGAGGATCGTTTGGTTTGTTTGGCGCTGGCATTAAAGCCGTATGGAGTCGAGTGTGTGGGAGTGTGTGTGTGTATTGTTGTTGTGCCACCTATAAACACAGAGATGAGCTCAGCCAGAGGAGACAGATCCGCTGCCAGTCACAGGCTTTACAAGCAATAGGCTATATCTATCCAACCGTTTCTTTATTTTAAGACAAGCATTGCGTTTCTTTTTCCCAAGTCCAGGATTAATAGGTGTAAAATGCACAGATATCCGCTAAATATTTAATGTAAGTGTCCACTCGAGTGCGAGTTTGTTATTCATGTAGTGCTTGTCGTAAAACACTGTGTTGCTGTGCGGGTTCTAAGATGTCCTGCGTGGTTGCTATGGTTTTCTGAGTGCTTTTAGGCACATTGTAAGGGGGTTAATAATAGGCTTTTCTGAGTGTTGCCTCTGTGGTTGCTGGGATGTTCTAGGTGGTTGCCAGGGCGTTGCTATGTGGTTGCTAAAGTCTTTGAGTGTTACTGAGATGTTCTGGGTGGTTGCCAAGGCGTTGAATTGTGGTTGCTAAACTGTTTGAGTGTTGCCGTATGGTTGCTGGGATGTTCTGGGTGGTTTCCAGGGCGTTGCTATGTGGTTGCTAAAGTATTTGAGTGTTACTGAGATGTTCTGGATGGTTGCCAGGGCGTTGAATTGTGGTTGCTAAAGTGTTTGAGTGTTGCTGGGATGTTCTGGGTGGTTGCCAGGGCGTTGCTATGTGGATGCTGAAGTGTTTGAGTTTTGCTGTATGGTTGCTGGGATTTTCTGGCTGGGTTGCCCAGGGCGTTGCTATGTGGATGCTGAAGTGTTTGAGTGTTGCTGTATGGTTGCTGGGATGTTCTCGGTGGGTTGCCAAATCATTGCTATATGGTTGCTTAAGTGTTTGAGTGTTGCTGCATGGGGCGTTCTGGGTGGGTTGCCAGGGCGTTGCTATGTAGATGCTGAAGTGTTTGAGTGTTGCTGTATGGTTGCTGGGATGTTCTCGGTAGGTTGCCAGGTCATTGCTATATGGTTGCTTAAGTGATTGAGTGTTGCTGGGGTGTTCTGGGTGGTTGCCAGTGCGTTGCTATGTTGTTGCTAAAGTGCACTGACTGAGTGTTACTACTGCATATGGGTGCTGGGATTGTTATGGTGGTTGCTATGGTGTTGCTATGCAGTTGCTAAGATATTATAAGTATTGCTTCTGTATATGGTTTATGGGATGTTCTGAGTGATTGCCAGGTCGTTGCTAAAGTGTTTGAGTGTTGCTTGAATGTTCTGGGTGGTTGCCAGTGCGTTGCTATGTGGTTGCTAAACTGTTTTAGTGTTGCTGGGATGTTCTGGGTGGTTGCCAGTGTGTTGCTATCTTGTTATAAACAGTGTACTTACTGAGTGTTACTATTGTAGACACTGACTGTATACTTACTTTTTTCTAGAGTTGCTGTAAAGCCAAAACAATCTCTGTTACTTTAATTTCCTATTATCACTGTAAAGCTGCTTTGAAACAATCTATATTGTTAAAGGCGCTTTATAAATGAAGGTGACTTGACTTGACTATATGGGTGCTGGGATTGTTATGGTGGTTGCTATGGTGTTGCTATGCAGTTGCTAAGGTATTTTGAGTATTTCTTCTTTAGATGCTTTCTGGTATGTTCTAGGTGATTACCAGGGCGTTGCTATGTGGATGCTGAAGTGTTTGAGTGTTGCTGGGATGTTCTAGGTGATTACCAGGGCGTTGCTATGTGGATGCTGAAGTGTTTGAGTTTTGCTGTATGGTTGCTGGGATTTTCTGGCTGGGTTGCCCAGGGCGTTGCTATGTGGATGCTGAAGTGTTTGAGTGTTGCTGTATGGTTGCTGGGATGTTCTCGGTGGGTTGCCAAGTCATTGCTATATGGTTGCTTAAGTGTTTGAGTGTTGCTGCATGGGGCGTTCTGGGTGGGTTGCCAGGGCGTTGCTATGTAGATGCTGAAGTGTTTGAGTGTTGCTGTATGGTTGCTGGGATGTTCTCGGTAGGTTGCCAGGTCATTGCTATATGGTTGCTTAAGTGATTGAGTGTTGCTGGGGTGTTCTGGGTGGTTGCCAGTGCGTTGCTATGTTGTTGCTAAAGTGCACTGACTGAGTGTTACTACTGCATATGGGTGCTGGGATTGTTATGGTGGTTGCTATGGTGTTGCTATGCAGTTGCTAAGATATTATAAGTATTGCTTCTGTATATGGTTTATGGGATGTTCTGAGTGATTGCCAGGTCGTTGCTAAAGTGTTTGAGTGTTGCTTGAATGTTCTGGGTGGTTGCCAGTGCGTTGCTATGTGGTTGCTAAACTGTTTTAGTGTTGCTGGGATGTTCTGGGTGGTTGCCAGTGTGTTGCTATCTTGTTATAAACAGTGTACTTACTGAGTGTTACTATTGTAGACACTGACTGTATACTTACTTTTTTCTAGAGTTGCTGTAAAGCCAAAACAATCTCTGTTACTTTAATTTCCTATTATCACTGTAAAGCTGCTTTGAAACAATCTATATTGTTAAAGGCGCTTTATAAATGAAGGTGACTTGACTTGACTATATGGGTGCTGGGATTGTTATGGTGGTTGCTATGGTGTTGCTATGCAGTTGCTAAGGTATTTTGAGTATTTCTTCTTTAGATGCTTTCTGGTATGTTCTAGGTGATTACCAGGGCGTTGCTATGTGGTTGCTAAAGTGTTTGAGTGTTGCTGTATGGTTTCTGGGATGTGGTTACCAGGGCGTTTCAGTTGCTAAGGTTTTCTGAGTGTGTTACTTGTTTTTTTTGGTTTCTGGAATTTCCATGGTGGTTGCTAGGGCGTTAAAATGTGATTCATACAGGTTTTTTTTAATGTTTCTTTCTACTGTATATGGTTGCTGTGATTTTCTATGCGGTTACCAGGGTGTTGCTATGTGGTTGCTTAGTGTTGATGTATGTTTGCTGGGATACCAGGGCGTCGCTATGCAGTTGCTAAAGTGTTTTGAGTTTTGCTACTGGATTTAGTTGCTGGGATGCTCTAGGTGGTTGCCATGGTGTTGCTATGCAGTTGCTTGAGCCTTTTTTCCTGTCTCGCATGAAAAGAGTCCCCCCTCAAGTCTGGTCTCTAGAAATTATATTTAACATGAATTTAGCATTTTTATAATGTAGCGCTCCTTATTTATTGTAACTGATTTGGTTTAATTTCCCTCAGTGCTTGTCATTGTGCTTCAGTTAAACTGTCAGTGTGTAGATGTTGAAAGCGTCTGTGAAGTGTCACGACCCCCTCGGCCCTCATTGACGTTCTCTGAAGGGGGTCTGACTCACGTCTGTCACTCGCAGACTCTGACATTTCCACCGGCCGTGTGTCAGGACGGTTTTGCTGAAGACTTTTCACGGCATGAATAATTCATACAAACATCACTGTACGCCACACATAATTCTGAGGGATTAGGCAAATTGGAAACCAACTGGAAAAGGTGAATTATACATTAATCAGTGCAGTTAAGCGAAGTCATCTGCTGCTCCTGTAATTGATTATCTGATTGGAATGTATAATCGGGTTCGTGAAGGGGGGCATGTGAAAACTGTGAATTTACAGAGGATGTTTAATGAAATGGGATGTATTTATGGACACTGGTAATGCTATCAGCCGGGACATTGAAGAGAAACAGATGAAATCTGAAGAGATCAGGCTGTTCAATCTGTAACTTTAGATGTTGAGTGTTTGTCATACGTGCATTTGTGCTTCTGTCATTGATGATCATTAACTGGAATCTTCTGAATATGACAAACAGAAGTGAATAACTGCATGTGATAATAAAAAATTATGAGTAATAATAAAGTATCATAATCAAGAACTATCTTCACAACTTTGCTCTCCATTTAATCTCATTGTTGACTTGGGGAAAGTACTGAAATATTAAAACTGCAAAAAAATGATGTTCCTCCTCAGTGTTTCTGTCTTGTTTTCCAGCACAAACATCTAAACATTCTTAAATCAAGATACATTTACTGGAGAAGCAAAATGTGTGTCTATTAATATAAACCTTTGACAAGTACGATCATCGACATCAGTATAATATAATTCATATTTTCACAGAAGAACTGGAATAAAAGTTTATAGTTGGGATAAATACACTGATGTCTTTGGTAACAAGTAAATCACCCTTTTAAAGTAACGACGCTTCAAATAAAGATTGTATCATTACATCGTTGCACCAGTAGGTGGCGACAAGTGACTCTTAAACATGTGTTTGTTATTGAATCATTAATTCAAGAGATTCGTTCAAAAAAGTCTTTATGAATGAGTCATTGAATTATTCACTCAAACCGATTTAAAATAATTCATTCAGATTAATAAAACATTTTAAATAGACTGTAACATTTTGTTTGAACCTCTAGTAAAGTACATGTTATTTTGTTTAGTTATCTGTTCAGACTCTTAAGTCTGTCTTCAAAATAGTGGATTACTCCGTAAATTTTCATCCATGACATTTAATAGGCCCACAAGAAAATAGGCACAAGGGGGGGGGGGGGGGGGGGGGGGATTGCTAGTATATGTTAAAAACACAATTACAAGTAACCTTATTGAATGGTCACAGGAAATAGACATGGAGTATATTGGGTTGAATATGTCACTATCTCCTCAAATGTCTTTCACTGTCATTTGCCTATATCGACTACCATCAACCAATAACATATTTTATGAACATCTCCATAATATTCTTAAGCAATGTGATGGTAAAAAGGAGTTAATACTAATGGGTGATTTTAATAAAAACTCGGGGAAAAAAACTGAGAGGAAAAAACTTGAAGAGATAACAAACAAATGTAATCTTTCCCAACTGATACAAGGTTCAACAAGAATAACTAACTCCTCCCAGACACAAATTGATTTGATATTTACAAACAGACCTGAGAGAGTAACTACATCGCATAATATGCTGACTGGTCTGTCTGACCATAATATCACACTGCTGGTAAGGAAACTAACCAGAAAACAATCTATAAATTCTACCAAAAGAAACCAATTCTATGAGCAAATTCCTAAAAATGAAACAATAAACTTAGAAAAAGCTATAAATCAAATTGACTGGTCTAACCTTCTAACCAGCAGAGATACTGAGACTAGCTGCAGCACTTTTTTTTCTACTATTACCGAGATAAGAGCAGCCTTTACAAGAAAGGTGAGACATAAACATGGACAAAAGACCACCTTACCATGGTTAAATGACACACTCTGGCAACAAATGAAAGAGAGAGATTCTGCTTTAAAGAGGGCACTAAAATCAGGGCATAGTAGTGACCGGCTCACCTTTACAACTCTCCGAAATAAAGTATTAAGGAATTTAAGAAAGTCTAAAGCAGAGTTTTTTATCAGAATTATTAATGAAGCTCAGGGAAATGGGAAATTAATTTGGAAAAATCTTAATAAATTAACTGGTAGGAATAAAAAACAAAGGATAACTTTATTTGAACTCAAAGTGAATGGAATCCTGACCCAAGATAACGATATGATAGCAAGTACATTTAATGATGTCTTTATAAATTCAGTTAGTGAGCTGGCTCAAGGTATCCCAACTGAAACTATACCATCTATCCCCATTGATAAAGCTAAACCTATTTTTAAAATAAAGGAAATATCGGAATCAGAGGTTATTAAAATTATAAATTCACTAAGGAATTCAAAAGCAAAGGATTCATATGGCTTGGGATACCGCATTTTTAAAGTCACACAAGGACACACTTGCTTGCTCCATTGCACATCTGATCAATCTGTCAGTTAGGCAAAGTACTTTTCCAAGCTCTTGGAAAACAGCAGTTATATCACCGATCTACAAGTCAGGTGATAAAACAATGGTGTCAAATTATAGACCCATTAGTATTCTATCAGTGATATCCAAGGTGACAGAAAAATGGGTAGCAGAACAGCTGAAAACCCATCTAAACCTGGGCCACACCCCTTTACATCCAATGCAATTTGGATTTCGCACTTATCACTTTACAGAGACAGCTAATTGTTTTCTCCTTGAGAACATTAAGTCAAAATTAGATGAGGGTGGTATAGTAGGTGCAATGTTTCTTGACCTTAAGAAAGCTTTTGACACTGTGAATCACCAGACACTATTGTCAAAATTATCTATATATCATTTTTCAGATGAGGCCATGAAATGGATGGAGTCCTACTTAACTAACAGGAAACAGAGCGTACATATCGGTAATTCATATTCTTCATACCTCGACTGTAATATTGGTGTACCTCAGGGGTCAGCATTGGGCCCTATTTTGTTTAGCCTGTATATTAACGATTTACCTTCAGTCTGTCGATCTGTTAATATACAAATGTATGCAGATGATACAGTCCTTTATTTGCATACCAAGAACAAACAACAGGCTGCAACTAAATTAACTGAAGCACTGGTATATGTTTCTGACTGGCTAAAAATGTCAGACTTGCATCTTAACATTAAAAAAACAGTCTTTATGTTATTTTCCAAGAAATCCACAGCACAGGAGGCTGAGGTTTTTATTGAAGGAGAAAAACGTATGGTTGTGTCCGAATTTAAATACCTCGGCATTATTTTAGATTCTAACTTAACTTTTAAAAAGCATGTTAAAAAGGTGGCTAA